TCATTATGGCTGCAACATCTCCGCTGCAAATCTGATGTATATTAACCGAACATGGCGTTCGATACTTCACTTATATTATGTAACACATCGTAGTGCATCTCAGATCATTGTATCCTTACCTACTCAAAGGTGCTTGGCCTTTTGGACCTTTGATGGGATTGTTGTCCGGTTATAGCTCCACTATGTTGAGAAAGTGCTTACAATGGGAATAGTTAAGGAAGGTTTTCTCGACTTCGGTTGTTGTGGAATTGGTTCCTCATAAGTCAAGGCCAGAAGGACGTGTATAGAGAGAAGCTCTCTATCTTTTTCCTTGGGCAAAAGTTTTACGGAGCTGGATTAATATTTCTTCATTTTTTAGTTGTTGATTTTTTAATATCAATCTCTTACAAAGATTGATCACATTTACTTTCACATTTATATACTTTCTGGCGTTTTAATTTTATTTATTTTCTTATTCTCATTGTTCAAGTGTAACTACTAGAATCTAGAATCAAATTATATATATATATATATATATATATATATACTTTCTTTACTTAAATTGGATATTTTGGTTACAAGGTAAATGGAAGTGTAGTGGCATTCTTCTGTGGCTAGGTTTGAGAGTAGATACTGGTTGGTAGCATATGAAACAGACTTTATTAAATGATTCCAAATTCTGTGCAATTTGGTGCAGGTGGGCTTGCTTTTGCTTGAATCTCTCCTTCTTCTTGGTTACTTTGCTTTGTTTCACCCGGGGAATCAAGCTGTTCTTAGATGGGGAAAAGGTCCCACCATTCTTCACAAGGTCAGTGAATAGTTTTAAGCTCTCCTATCTGACCTAATGTTATTTATTAGAATGCATTGCTGATTGTGAAAGCTACAGGTCTGTGATCTACCCTTCGTGTTTTTTAGTGACCCTGAACTGATGCCTGTCTTGGCTGGCACTCTAGTTGCTGCCTGTTACGGGTGTGAGCAGAATAAGGGTCTGGTTGAGCAAGAACTTAGTTTGGAAATGCTACTCTCCTTGCTAAAATCATGCAAAAATGTTTTGCCAGCAGTAAGATCAAATCTCACATTAGAAGATTTGCTGGGGGAAAGTTCAGGTGAATGCAATCAGCATGGTTCTGAAATTAAGAAATCACAGAGTGAAACTCCCCTAAGATCTAGCCGTTTCAATTCGAGAGCCATGCGGGTTCCTGTTGGAAAGGTTACTGCCTCTGGTAACAGCTTCAGAGTTAGCAGGTTACGGAACCAAAGAGAGAGCAAAGCGACAAAAGCTACTGAAGAAATGACAATGAAGCATGGTTTGCCAGCTTCAGTAATGTTGCATTGTAGATTTCCTAGGAGATTCATTGACCAGGCAGAGCAGTTCTTTTCTACAGGGATCTGATATCAATCAAGTGTGAATTAATCACTGCAAGAACCGTTTCTAGTTTTGCAGAACTCATAATCCGGCTTCATAACATTGACTTTGATACGCATGAGTGCCTTGTCGGCCGGGGAAGCTGAAACTTTGAAGGAGGTTTTTGGACTGATTTTATAGAGAGGGTTGTTTATGTTTGGAAATATTGAGTTCCACCGGTTGAAACTCTTTCAATGCTCTCATTGCGTCCAGAACATGAAAATAATACATGTAATAGCATAATGGTAGCTATTATTTCCTTATGGGTTTTCTTGCATGGGTAAGGTTGCTAGATGCTAAATGTGGACAAAGTTAGTTAACCAAAATATATATTTAAGTTTATATGATATACATTCTTTGACGTTGGTGTTTTCAATTTCCCAATATCACCGAACACCAATGACCAAGGTCTAGGTGAATTTAGGAACAATACCATGTACATAATTTCAATCTGCCACTTTAAATATAGAAAAAATTTTGGCGACCACCAGAGTAATTTACGGTCTTTTTCAATTTTATTTGGGGAATTTCCTCACAATGGATTAGGACCATTCATGATCCAGCATGCCAATACCTCAAGTCTAATAAAGAGAGGTTGATCTTTCTGCTTCGTTTTTCCATTCCTGTGGATAATTTGGAAAGAAAGAAATTGAACAACTTTGGATTAGAACTGATTTGTTTTTTGGTAGAACCTGAAATCTTTGGCACATGTTATTGTTTGTTAAAGGTCAACCTTTTTCTTTTGACAAGAACCTTACAAGCAGCCTTGTCGATATCTTGGCTTCACTTTGCTGCTTTGTTGACAATAGACTTTCCCTTCAAATAAAATAAAAAATAACTTCAATACAGAAGCCTCATAACATTTATTATCAAAACCACTACTCTTCAGAACTATTAACACATACAAAAGGGAGCAAAAATGCATCAGAAGTTAGGCCGAGAAATACTATCATCATTATCATCAAGAATGAGTTTGACCCCATTGTTCTTAAGGGCATTGACAAGAGCCCATACTTTAGTGCGGTTCTTAAACCCTTTCTTCTCCACCTCTTTGTTTGCATCTACGTGTATTCCTCTTCCCTGACCCTCTTCAAGACCATCAACCTTCAGTCTCATGGCCAACACCTCTCCAACAATGGCTGCCGCCTTGGCATTGCAAGACCGACCACATTCGAGCGAGCCTTTAATGGCATGTTCAACTGTTGATGCTGTGGCAACTATCCTGCCGTTGTTTCTGTCTACCACGTTAGCTGTAATGTACTTCAATGATATGAACAACCTTAGCACGTACCTCTTCAGAACTGTCATCCTCTAACAATTCTGGAAGTTTGAGGTCAGTTAGTTTATTAGTGAGACTTGAAGTGTTACTGTATATTTCACAAACGTGTATAAACTAGCATGCTTCACATTAAAATGCTAACCAATAGCAGTGAAGTACTTGAATTATCATTAGAACATTCCTTTTGATGGTCCCATAACTCAGTCATGATATTCTTTTTTGTTTTTCAAATAGAGAAGAAAATTATTCAAAGCACCAAGAGCATGCTACTCGAACAAAGGGAAAACCTATAAAATAGATTCAATCAAAATATCCAAGGGGTCGTCCCATAACAAAAAGAATGACTTTTGAACAACACATACTAAGTCTGGATCTGGTGATCTGTATTCCTATCAAAAGGAAAGGAAATTAACCTCAGAAATTCTTCTATTTCTTTCTTTCCATAGGTAGCTGAAGGGATAAGGGACATGAATTTTCGTAAAGGTTTAGTGCTGAATTTCAAAGCCATCTAGCTGAAGGAAACCAAAGTAGAAAATTAAGAAGATTCACTCTCTTTCAGACAAAGAAAACAACCACCGGAAATGATGGTGTTGAATGTTCCGGTAAGCATGAAAAACAGATGGAATCAATCACCCAAATGCCGAAAAAGCAGATTCGGAAACCAAGCCATCCCATAAGAACAACAGCAGAATCTCATCAGCCCAGGCAATTATATTGTCGAAAAAGAAAAACTCAATTGAGCAAATAAAAAATAGGTGAATCGGCATTTCGTACTCATTAAAACCACTACATTCTACATTGACACGATTTTACCTGCTTAAATCTGTCAACCACTACTCTTCTTTCTTGCGTTCTTTATATGATCAAATAAACCACCGCCAAGCTCTGTCCTCTGCAGTCTCAGTTCGACCTCCTCCTGATTTTTGGATCCCTTTTTCCTTTCAATTTCCCTCCCAAAACCCTAGGCTTTCGCTTTGTTTAAAAACCAAACCTTGTGAAATCGCACCCGTGCCTGCAAGTTATACCAGCTTCAGGTGTTGCTCATCGCGCAAGGCGCGCCTGCAGAGCCATCAACACTGTCTTCGCGGGTACGCCCAAGGGATTGCCAATCACCTCTCTCTCTTTCAGCATCCTCAGTTCACAGGCTAAGTGCTTCCCATTTCTCCATATGTTTCTCTTTTATTTATTTTTGTCCTTAAACGACGACGTTTCTCATGTTTTGCCTCATTGAAGATTACCAAGAAAATTATTCGAAGGGCCACGCTTGTGTAGGCTGGTCCGTGGGCCCAGATATTTTCTTGACCTGATATTATACTTTATCTCAGATTATTTTTTATTTAATAATTTCTCAATTTTAATTTTCTTTCTATTTTTTTAACATCATGGGGCTTGATTATATTAATTTATTGGTAGATCCGTTGAATTAAAATATGCATGAAAACTAACAAAAGTGAAAAAAAAAAAAAAAAAACATTATAGTATTCAAAATATAATATTAGTAATTTTTTAATAGAATAAATATTTAAATTTTATCATCACAAGATAAATAAAAATAAAAAATTGAATTGGCATTGAATTGGCAGATTGTTTTCCCAGTTACAAAAAATCTCTCACAAAATATGGTACCGATGCTTAAGAACACAGCAGGGACAGGGGAAGTTGCATTACCATACTGAAGGAAAAGTCATCTTGACTCATCTCTCTGTTCAGCTTTTAGAGGATACATCCAAGTTATGAGAAACAGCATAAGCACTTCCAGGAACTGCAACTAAAAGTTCCTCCTCAAATTTCTCCAGCATTTCTGAACACTCCTTATCCTGAGATTACTTAGATACATCAGTTTAATACTTAAAACTTACATTGTAAACCATCAAAGTCATCCCAGTAATGGAAATAGCACTGAACTTGAAAAGGTTTATTTGCCTTTTTTTATACAAGAAGAAAGTAAAGGAGAAAGATCCACTAATCTTACGAAAAGGATAGCCAACCAATCTTTTATACAATACATAAAGAGAAATAAACATCTTCAACAGCCTAATCTAAGTTGAAGAGTGAAAATAAACACGGCGGTTTTCCTCTGTGCTTCTAAGGAATACTTCAGAAAAAAAAAAGACAACTAAAAAGCATAAAGACAGGAAATTCAGATAATTTTACTTCTATTAAAAAAGCATGAGGAAGCTACTTCGATTCCAGCGCTTTCAAATTTGAAAGACGGGTTTATTTAGCTTGAACATAACAACAGCAGGGCCTAGTGCATGATGATGCATATATACCAAATGCACAGGGCATGCAAGTTTGAGATACTATGACAGATGAGATCCCTGTCCTCAGAGAATACCTGCACTTGAGTGATGCTTTCTTCTGTATTTCCAAGATTATCCGAATTATTCAACATAACTTTAAGTCGTTTCCTTGCTTTGATCCTTGTTGCCTGACGTTCAGCACGCTGTGCCATAGTAACATCTGAATGGCAGGCTACGCACAAAGTCCTCATGTTTTCTAGCATGCACTCACCTAAAAAGGATTAATATGGTAACATAAGAAACTCAAATAATAACTGTAAAGAGTTAGAGAAGAAAAATTCTATATATTTCTTGTATTTCATTCCATAGATTTTAGAAGTATATATATAGAAGATGGATTTATATATGGAAATATAAATTATTCTATTGATGCTAGAAATCAACTAATAATTACATAAAAATATTATGTAATATATTTTATAATATTCTAACACTCCTCAAATTGAAGCATAACTATTAATTATGTCCAGCTTGTTACGAATATACTCAATTCGGATACTATTCAAACCTTTTGTAAATATATCACCTAATTATTCCCCTATTTTTACATAACCGGTAGAAATCAAGTTCTCATAAATCTTCTAAAAAATAAAGTGACAATCAATATCGATATGTTTGATTCTTTCATAATACACCGAATTTGAGGCAATATAAAGAGAAACTTGATTATCACACCAGAGTTTTGCAGGTAATATGGAATTCAAACCCATTTCCGCTAAAAGGTGTTGTATTTATAAAACTTCATATGTGAACTGAGCCATAACTCTGTATTCGGACTCTGTATTATATCAGGACACAACGGCCTGCTTCTTATTCCTCCATGATACCAAGTTTCCACCAACGAAAACACAATAACCTGTAATGGATCTTTTTTCAATTTTAAATCCAATCCAATCAGCATCTGCAAATCATTCAATGTGAGTGCGTCCATGATTGTTAAATAATATACCAAGTCTTAGAACACCTTTTAGGTAGCACAAAATTTGTTTCTAAGTCTTGCAATGTTTGACTGTAAGTACATAAATAAATTAACTAACAACACTGACAGGGATATTCAATATCTAAAACGAGTCACTATGAGATAATTTAGTTTTCCAACTAATCATATGTATCTTTCCAGATCATCAAGGGGGTTACCATCATCTTTAATAAGGTGTACATTTAGTACCACTGATGTGTTACATGGTTTAACTTCCAACTTTTCAGTTTCTGCAAATAGATCAAATACATATTTTCTTGAGACAAGAAAATCCATTTCTTTCTTCTTATTACTTCTACTCCTAAAAAATATTTTAACTGATTCAAGTCTTTGGTGTGAAACTTGGCATGCACGAATAATTTGAGAGAGAATATTCCTGCACAGTCATCTCCTGTAATGACAATATCATCAACATAGAAAACAAAAAGTATAAGACCAACTGTTGATTGTTTATAAAAGATTGAATGATCACACTTACTATTCTTCAGCCCAAATTCCAGAATTATTTCACTAAATTTACCAAATCATGCACAAGAACTCTGATTCAAAACATACAAAGATTTCTTTAAATAACAAACTTTCTCGTACTCCCTCTGAACGATAAACCCAAGTGGTTGCTTTATATACACTTCTTCTAGGAGATCACCATAAAGGAATCTACTCTTGATATCCAACTGGTGTAAAGGCCAATTTCGAGATGCCATAATAAAGATGAATAAACGAATAGATGTAAAATTGGCCACCGGAGAGAACGTATCCGAATAATCAACCCCATAAGTCTGAGGTATCTGGGTTTACTTTGACTGATAAAACTCATTTGCACCCCACGACCTTTTTTTTTTAGGTAAATCCACCAAATTCCAAGTATGATTTTCATCGAAAACATTTATCTTCTCAAGCATCACATTATGCCAACCAAAATGATTCAAAATTTTCTTAACTTTCTTGGGTATATAAATCGAATCTATAGAAACAATGAAACAGCTAAACTAAGAAAACAGATGGTCAAACGAAACAAAATTAGCAATGAGATAAGTTGACATAGGAATGGTACACTGACATTTACCTTCACGAGACCAATGGGAATATCAAGGTCTTGTGAGAAAGAATCAAATGATGATGGATCTGGCGCAATCTGTTATCTTCTTAAATAAACATGAACAATTGGTGATGGTATTTGGGTCAGAGGCACACTACCATTATCATCAACTTGCTCAAGTAGGAAGAAAACACATCATTCGGAGAAATACTATTATCTATTTGCTCAGTAGAGGCACCTGTGTGAACTTATGATGACTCACTCATCATCTGCCCTCTAACTTATAAACTTGGATAATGAGAAGAAAAATGATGTATTCTCTAAAAAGACCACATCAGTTGATACCAAGTATCAATTGAGATCTTTAGAGTAGCACTGGTATCCTTTTTTAAGGCGAGAATATCCCAAAAATATACACTTTAAAGTCATTTGGTCCAATTTTATCATACTAAATCGCACATCTCAAATATAACAAGTGCTACTAAATATCTTAAATTGCACCGGAAACAAAGATTTGTTTGAAAAAAAAAAGACTATAAGAAACATCTCAATCAAGTACTGTAGATAACATATGATTAATCAAGAAAGATACCATGGAAACAACATCAACTCATAATTGCTTAGAGACTTCCGTTTAAAACAAGAAGACTCGAGCTGTTTCAAGTAAATGTTTATTCTTTCTCTTAACAACTCCATTTTGAAATGATTTATCAACACACGAGAATTGCTTAAAGATCTCGTCCTGAGTGATGCATGTCTAAAATGAGTGTGAAATATTTTCCACGCTCATAAACATTGAATTGTGTTTTCACTTCAACATAAAAAGCAAAAAAGTGAGAAAATATTTCAGAATAATTTTTCATAAAATATATTCAAATCATTCGAGAGAAATTATCCATAAAGATAACAAAATACTTAAAATTGCTTTAAACATAACAGGATAACAATTCCAAACATCATAATTAAGTAACTCAAAAGCAAACTCAGGTCGTCTATTGACCCTAGGACCTGATAGAATACAGTAATATTTTACAAACCAACATGACTCACAATCCAGTGAAAGTACATCATGGAACTGAGTACATAATTTCCTCAACACAGGTAGAGAATGGTGTCTTAATTGAAAATGTACTTCAAATGGAAAGATAACACTAGAGCAGACAACCGATCAAGACGCCCAAATATCAAGAATGTAAAGACTGTCTGATATATTTCTTTACCAATAATCTGCTTCGTCGTAAGATTTTGAAGAACACAGTGATCAGGAAAAAATGTAATACAACAATTCAAATCTTTATTAACATTACTCACAAAAATCAAATTGAAGGCAAGTTTAGATAAACTTAATACAAATGATAGAGTAATAGATGAATTTGATTTTGTGGTCCAAGAATCCACAATGTTATAGGACAACCCATCAGCAATAGTTACAGGAAAAAGTGATTTATGTGATCAAAAACTAAAAAAAATATTAAAATTACCTGTCATATGATCTGTAGTAACAGAGTTAATCACTCATCTGTCCGATGAACAGATAATATATTTTTTCTCTGATTCAGTAAAAACATTAAATTTATTTAAAAATTTCTGATATTGAGAGAATTTAACATATTTGTCAGTTGAAATAATAACAATTCTCTCACAAGATAAGCTAGTAGTAGTAACAGCAGTAACAATATTCGCAGTTTGTGTCATCCGATTACAATTCTGCAATTTCTTACAACATCGTCTTATGTGCTCTCGTTCACAACAATAATAGCAGACAATATTATCACTTATTTTAATTCATAGACTACAAAGATATCACTCAGAATATCCAAAACACAGCAGTCAGAGATGCACGAAAAATACAGCAAATAAATCAGAAATTTTGAAAAAAAATAATACCTCCTATCACACAAAATCAAGAACCATACTGCCACCACCGAACACCGATCATCGCCTCACACGCTGCTGCGGAAGAGTCATGCGCCGTAGCCATAAAAACACTTATCGCCATTGAAAAATGCCAACCAACCTCCCTTCGGCTGGAAATCACCACAAAACAAAAATACACACCTGAATCTGGAATGTAACTTCCAAAATCGCCCTAAATCGCGCTAGAGAACAGAAAAAAACTTGTTGTCACGCAATCTGCTCACCCTCGGGTTTTCTCCGCTCCGGCCTTCTGGTTTCGTGCTCAGAATCGATCGGCTGAGCTTCCCTTCACCTTCTGACTTCAGATGGGACACATAACACCACGACTTCAAACTTCTGCGCAAACAGCCGACAAACCCGACTCTGCGACTTCAAACAGCCGCACAAACAACCTCCTCCTCTTCTTCATACACCACTATACTGCCCACACTCTGAACTGGCCGGAGATCAGTGGTCGACTTCCTCCAGTGCCAGAAATGGGTTATCCAATCCTTTTTTGGTCTTATGTATTCTGACCCCTAAAACTCTAATCCTAACCGTACCTCTGATACTATGTAAAGAGTTAGAGAAGAAAAATACTACATATTTTTTGTTTCATTCCATAAGTTTTAGAGATATATATATATATGAAGAGGGATTTATATATGTAAATATAAATCACCCTATTAATACTAGAAAATCAATTAATAATTACATTAAAATATTCCGTAATCGATTTTATATTATTCTAACAGTAACCATGTAAAGGAACTTCATACCCAACATAGATAAAAAATTGTTATGTAGATACAATAAATTCCTTCATTTATCATGTAAATTTATTTCAAAAGTAAGTTTCGAGATACTAAAAGTACTTGATTTATGAAATTTGAATTGCGAATATATATGCTCCAGTTTTCCACTAGCTTGTCACCAACGAAGAGTTTCTACCTAATGATTTATCTTTATCCCAGCAAATCCTGATTAAAAATGAAATTATATTAATTTTTTGACAACAGCACACTACCTTCTCTGGAAATACTGCATATTTTATTTTCCTCTTAAGAAGAATGGTATTGCTTACTATTCATATGTTATGATATATGAATATAGACCTCATGTACAGATGACATTGTGATTCTATTTGATGCAATGAACATTGGTCATACTAATCTCCCAAAATGTAAATCTATTAAGGCTCAAACTCTAAAATTTGCATTATAACCTAAACTCTAAAATTTCCCAAAATATAATCTGTTTTAACTCAAAGTAGGGTTAATGACAGAGAACCCTGATACAGCTTAAAAAGCATATAAATTATTAATAGTCAAAATTCATATATCAAATGGTTCATGAGTTTTTTAAGTTTCCAAATCAAACAATATACATATTAAAATACAAATCTAATTTCTCATATACTTTGAATTTTTAGAAGGTTTCACAAAATATAGCCCTAATATTGTAAAAATTTTGAAAAGTACCTTTAAATGTTTGGTTTTTCAATTACATCAGATTTTTTACTATGAAAACCGAAAACTGAACAGAATAGTGAGCATTCTCAATTTGCAAAAACCGAGACCGAAACCAAAAACCTAACCAAATTAAGCATACTCCATATGAACAGAAGACCATACTGAAAACTGAATAAACTGAAACTAATTTTCTAAAATATCATTAAGAGTTCAGTATTAGGTTAAATCAATTTTATAAGTGAAAACTGAAAACTGAATTGAACACAGGTTACTCTTATTTTGCAAAACCAAAACCGAAACTGAAAACTGAATGGACCAAGCCGGATTAAGCATTCCCCCTGTGAACAAACTTTATACTGAAAACCAAACAAAACTAAGTAAGCAAACTCCTAGATGAACTGAACTCTATACCAAAAACTAAACATATTGAACTGAATTAACCACACAATGGAGCATATCGCCAGAGTGAGATATCAATCACATAAAGTCATAGTAACAAGTCCCATTCACCTTCAAACTTAGGAATATATTGTGGTAGACCATTGTAGAACTATTATCAATAGGGAGACAACTTAAAAATGAATGTGGAACGTCAATCAAACTGAGAGAGGATCTTTCTAGGGAGAATAACTTCAACCAGAAAATATTTAATAATATCATACCTCCACCTCGGTATACAGGAATGATGTGATCTGCATGCCATGCATTCCCCTCAGTTGGATCATTGACAAGTTTGTTGAGCCTGCAGGAAATCACATGGAAAAGTTAGCATGTTTTAAGATATATTTTCCTAACATACATCAGGCCTAATCCATACAAGGTAAAATATTAGGCACAGAAAAATCTTTCATGTACTATATCCTATTCTCCAAACAGAGTTCATTAAGTTTCTACTTAAGATGCACAGTAGACAGTATAAGCTCAACAACCACAAGTACACCACCTGATCATAGATTAACATAAACTTTACAACTGCTTTCACGAAAAAAACAAAAGCCTTAGAAACTGAACATTCTGCATCAAGTAGGAAAAGAACACCATTATTCAATTAGACTCACAAGGTTTTCCGGCTGGCCAATTTTGGTGCAACTTGCTCAATGTATTTCAGTCGTTTCTCCAGCAATAAAGGTTTTAAGCGCTTCACAAGTTGATGACAATCCAACTGGCAATTTGTGCAGATGCCATGTTCTATTTGAAAAAGTTGCTAAAATCTCAAAATCACCATGATTAGTTATGAAATTACTAAATAAATAGAAGCTTAAGAATAAAATATCAAAGGAATGATACTTCCAACTTTAAAAACTCCCAATGATTTTGCAATCAGACAGTCTGATTCATGTAACGAACAGTTAAATTGAAACCAATTATTGTTTCACTCAGTTGATATATATCCTTACCTGACGGAGGAATCCATTGCTTGTTCTTATGCGGTACTCTTCAAAGCAGCCAAGATTACAAAAAAGATCCTCAAAATATTCTGGTTCTTTGGCACTTCTGCCCCTGAAATCAAAGTGTAGAAATATTGTAAAACCAGTCTCTTTCCATCTTTTTACCATTTTACCTTTTCTTCTGTTATTCTCCTTTTTTGTCTTTTTGTGCAGGTATGAAGTATGGCAGCTGGGGATGCCCTCTGATATTTTACGTTTATTCCTTCCGTTGAGGAAGGTTGTTATTTTTGTTTTATTCTCTTCCATCTGCCTATATAATGGCAACCCGATGAATGAAAGAAATAAAAGGAAATTTTGAGAATTTTCCCATTCTCAAAAACTTCACAAAGAAAACAATTTCACCTGGAATTTTTACAGAAAGAAAGCATCAATCTGGACTTACGTGCAGGGTTTTTGGCAAAGCTTGCAGAGTGGTTCGTCTTTCAGTGTCCAGCCCTGAGTGTATTCTTTCTCCATCTTTTTGTGGCCACTACGAATATGGACTTTTTTCCACACAGCATCTGATGGTAAAGGAAGACTAATCTCATACAAGGGTGTACTTCTCCGTTTGCTTCCACCCTTCAGCAGTCCCTGTTTTCAGGAGTAACGAGAACAAATTGCAATAAATTATGAAAAGCATTTACAAGTACATGATAAGCAGTGGAAACAAAAAATATAGTTACAGAAGAAGAGCACTTTTGGAATTACCCCTTTGTTGTGGCTAATATTTTCACTCAAGTAGCATAGCTCAACAGACAAAGGTAGTTGCAAAGGTTTTCCAAATAGTTTCTTTTGTTCAATAGGCCTTAGCTTGTTCCACTCATTGACAAATTCCAGAAGAGCATGCCTATATGCTGGGTTGTCTTTGACAGATTCCGAGACTGTGTCCTTATTGATGGCTGAAGGGAAATTTTCTGATTCAAGGTCCTCTGGACGGAAATTTTCGAAAAGCGGTTTTGGTCTTGAGTCTCTTCCTGAGATGCAGGAATATAAATGGATTCTTCCAGTATACTGGCTGACCTGAAAATATGACAGCCAATTACAGGAACAAGATATAAATATCATATGTTCTATTAGTTGGAACGAAGATAAACTAAAGAACATTCAAAGTGATCACAACTTAAGATTGGCGAAGTTGAAAATTTGAGTTGTCAATGAATGTCATTTGAGCCACAACGTTGCAGGTCATTAATGCTAGATATGATTAGTCATGTTGGC